CTGGCAGCATATGTGTTTCCAAATCTTGAGGCTAAGAAATTATGGCAGGGAATCTCAAATGTGTTATGCTATCACCCAGACACTACGTACCTAAGGATGGGAGCAATCCCCAAGGGCGATTTTGGTAGCAGGATTGTGTCGCTTTATTCACAGCAATTGTATACATGAAGTTGGGATCTCAGCTATTTCCAAGTTAAAACCAAGGCAGTAAGTCTCCATGGGTGAGGGCAGATGTATTCGTCTCTTTATACACAGCAATTGTGCACCTGGTTATAAGTTGGGGATCGTAATAATTTCAAAGTAAACATATCTTTTTCGCCCACCCCTCAGCCATTCAGAGGTCAGTCCTTCAACCTGTCAACTGTGAATCGCCACTGTCTGAGCATGTTTCCAACCACATATGGTTGGTACATGTACCCATCTCTTAGTTCCATAGAAGCAGTCGTTTACAGCGACATTATTACCCCGCCCATCAGCCCCTCGGGGGTTAGCCTTTCCATTCGTACACTTTCGAATCACCACCACCTAAAGACGTACCCAGTCAAATTCGGTTAAATCCCAATCAGTAGGTAATAAGAAGTCGTTGAGGAAAATGTTGATGGACTGTCAATGGACGCCGTGGAATGGTTCACCTTGCTTCTTTAGCCCGAATGGCTAATATACAAAGTTGATCTGAACGTTAATACAGCATAATCCGCACGGTCTAGTTTTAAAATGATATATCCGGTAAAACCAGATCCCAATTAATTATAATGATGACACGAGTTAATGCAAACAACGTATGTAGAAATTGACAATTGGTTTTGTAAAAGTCGAAAACTGAAATCTTATGAAATGATCAAAAGGAAAAGCTCATTAATATTGAAGGTATTGACTTCGGTTTATCTGGTTGATTGCTTCAAACCAATGATATCAGAGGTGCATTAAAGCGGAGAAATGATGAGTTCTCGGAATAATGCCATAATGTCCCTGTATAAGAGACCGACGAGGCCTGTATTGTGGTAGTTACTATTTTGTTAAGAAAAGAATATGTTCTTTTGTCAGTCTATTCCGATCATAAAGTGTAGGAAATTGTGTAAATAGAATGTAAACCTGTACGTAGCTACAAAAGGCCAAATATGATGGCCCTAGAAATGTTTTACAAGAGAAGCAGTTTGGAATCGATAAGACAATGCACACTTTTTGTCTATGCTTTTATAGTGTAAACTGCAATATTGGTCATGTTTTTAAGTTGATTTCTAAGACCTATTTTGTAAAAAAAAAAAAGCAATTATTTAACCGTTTTCTCCTTTAATATTCACAAACTCCATTTGTACCATAACCATATACCGTTTTGACATGGACTCTTAAATTACTATACGGATTCATACTGTTAACTCACATAACAGTAGTAAATTCAATTTTGATTGTAAATTTTTCCCATAAAAAAAAAGATTTTATATAATTTTGTATTGTTTAAAATGTAAAAAATCCCTGCCCTGGCACAAAAATTCATAAAACATCAAGGATTTACTCACGTTGAAACCTCGTTTGACCTAGTTTTAATTTAGTATAACAGGTTTCTTCTTATTTAGCATATTATGATCATTTTTAAAAGCAAACAGGCGCCTTAAACTGTGTAAAAAAACGTATAGACACCTATCGTTTGCAGATCGTGTTTTTCAAGATAAAAAACCGACCAATTCGGCATTTTCATTGTATCGCCATTTTTAACTGTATAATATGTTCATTTTTGCTGTGGAAGTTTTAAATGTTCAATGCTTTAAAGGTATTCTGTTACTTACTGGAAAAGAGTACGACATTGTTATTTCATTACTTACTTTGGTCAACTGGAGCTATTTTAATTTTGGAACCCGCTAACGTTGGAAAAATAAAATTTGCAAAATAAGAATCACACGGAAACCCACTTTTGTTACTGTTTCAGCAAGAGAAAAACCTCTGCTCCGGACTTTTTTTTATATCTGTACTTATTATGTTGTCTTGATAAAGGAGCATATCGAAAGATAAACGTAAAACACTCACAGGGGATGGCACCATTTAGTAATATACACAGTATGCCAAAAAAGAAATTTACTGCATCATACAGCTGTAGGTCCTTTAAATTTGACATGTAACGTGGCTTCGCAATAACTTTCATTTAATATCTAAATATGTTTTATTATTTTTACGTTATATACGGCATTTCTAATCCTTTGAGGAAAAGCGGTTTATAAGTCGTGATTTATTTCTACGTATGAATGTTAGGCTTCAATATTAATTAACTATATACATCAATTTCTCATTGTTAGACTCTCGGAGGAACAAGGTGGAATCTACTTTTTAATGGGTACAATTGTAACATTCGTACTTGAATAATATTTGAATGAGATCGCCCATGATATTTTACTCTAAACAAAGAAGACCCTTTTAAAAATCAATGATTCATTGTCCGTATAATGTGCGTTATAGATAAAAGGAAAACGTCTTAAGTTAAAAGCCGATACTCAACATTAGGAACTGAAGAGATACCAATACGAAGGTTCAGTAATCACAAGCCACTCAAAACAACTTACACGAAACCAGATATTCCAGGAAGGCGAGGATTTCCTATCCCTCTGATAGCTACACTGTTTTTAAGTAAAATATGTTATCATATTATTTCAGTTATTTATAAAGCATGTAATCACAATCATACAGTCTAAAAGTTAAACGTTATACGACCTCTTTGGCTGTTTTCCATCAGATAAAGTTTATATATACATGAAGTAAAATATGAGTTTTTGATTTAATGACAAATGCGCAAAAATACCTAATAGAGCCAGTATCTGAAACAGTAACAAAATGTAAGCTTAGTACTTATTCATATTTTTGATACAAAATGATTATTTTAGACCTAAATAATCTGCTTATTAGTCGCTGGCGTCATACTATTGTTGATATTTGGCATAAATGTCCCGGTCGTGATATTCCGCATTTATTGAAATGAGAAGTTTAAAAATAAACAGCGTCTGACTGAAAATATATATATTATTTATCTAACAGCTAAAATTAAGATATGTAAATGGACTTTCACTTATGCAATAGTTCCCATCAATTAATTAACGGACAGCATAATTGGGCTTGATTTTTTTGCCTGTCATGCATCTCTTTTCTCATCCTGACAGAGGCTGCCACGGCTTCTGACTAGTATTATGAACTTTACATTCGAACATATTATTTATTTTAGTTTGTTTTATATTTAATGCCCTAGACTCATCTCTGCTATTGAGTGTTTTAAAAGGAACCTGTATGTCCATTTATCTGTGGAATGTCTGCGATTGAGCGCGTTTCACAAGTCCTATTCACTGAATATCCAAATATGGCTTATTATAACTCTCGAGAATGTCTCGGGTCTCCGACCTTAGATAGGCAGAACCTTCAAATCCCGTCTCCAACACCAACTAGTGTTTTATCCTATATATCAAATCGCGAGGGTACACTGTGTTTCGGTCTATAAATCCATAGTCTGATACAGTTTGATACATTCCTTCAAAACATTTCACACGAATTGTTTATGTATACCACCATAGAATAAAACAATCGGAGTTATTGTATCAATGTATTTATCTCTGATAATCGGTATTTTATTTACATATATAAGCAAACTGTTTTAAAACAATCCGAGTTCTTTATACACGAGCAAGATATGTAGTTCTAATAATGTGTATATATACACATGCAGGAAGACATTTAATCTATACATGTTAAACTGTATGACAGCTACCTGACTGTAACACTTGTCTTATTGAAATACAACCGTCCAATATCTGTAATACCCAAAGGGCCTTTGTCTTGAATCGGTGATCTACTGCCGTTATTGTCTCACGAATAGAAGCTTGACGCTCTGGTGACCTGGGTTTATTATTGGAAAACCAGGATGGGCGGCTTAAAATGTAATAATAATGGAGTGACATTCTGATGGCGATCAACCATATACATCTGTACCCGAATAGGTGCCTAAAACAATACCGGGCTAATCAGTTCATTACCTCACTCCTCCAACCGTGCTAACAGACCCAAATTATAAGTCGGTGATGTTATAAATTCGACTGCTCGACAACAACAAGAAGTTTGTGGAGTCTTTCTATAAGTGTCTGTAATACAAACGACGGTTGTCGAGGTTTGTTTTCCATTAGTGAAAAAACAGAACTATACAAATGATTAGAAGTCATCGACAAGTGACGGTGTGGATTACACATGAGGTGTAAAGACTCAACCTGACTCTGTCTAATAAGACATGGTTATTGAAATACCGCTATCAACATGAATGGGAATTAATTCAACATGGTGCTGTGAAGATTTTTTAAAGTTTCAAATGTTATAATTACCAGAAACATTCTTATATATCGTGCTTCGATGTCATCCCTGCGTCAACTGTTTACGAAGTGTTAGACGATTATACCTATGTTATAAACATGAATTCAAAACAAACACTGGTGAGACTTGCCGTTTTGTTTATCTTTGTGTTCGCCTTCTACAGAGTCCAGCGAGAGGCTGTTATCTTTGCGCATGACTTAGGCAAACCACGCGCATCTACATTAAAGATTGAACATACAGTCTGTAATCCCCGAGTACTAATGGAAGTGTTAAAGATGTCAAATATGAAAGGGGTTTCTATACAGCGTAAATACAGCAATAATTCAGATGTAGCAACTTTGGATAAAACATTAAAAGTAAATGAAAGTAAACATGTTTCCGGTGCAACCATTTCAACAAACCATACATCCGTTGGAGGGAAGTTCGACTTAAAGCCTCCGACGTTCGTTACAAATTATTCAGATTCGTCACTACCCAGCAATAGGTCTAAATCTGATCGTCGAGTTATCTCGAGGCAAACTAGAGTGATAGATACGACGCGATGGGGAAGAAAACCCGGAAACTGGAATAATCAGGGGAAACTAAACCGGACTAGCCAACAGAGAGTCTTTACGGCTACGCATGGAAAACTTAAACCAGTTATTTACGTAAGAAGCATTCATCCAATGCACATCGACCTCAAAACACACGTTCGGAGAAAAATCGAGGAGGGCGTCGATATTGAGGTTCTTCCGATAAATCCACATCCGTTTAACTACATACATAGTCCTCCAGAGTGCGATTTCGAGGCAACATCTGATAGCTTCAATTTAATTATTCTTGTTAAATCGAGTGTCCAGCACTTCGCTCTTCGTGACGGTATTAGGAAAACTTGGGGGAACGTGACGAGCTTCAGTAATGTTCAGGTTGTGTTTCTCGTCGCTTTTAAACAATCTGCACAAACAGACATCGACAACGAAGCAGCGAGATTCTCTGACATCATTCAAGAGAACTTCACTGACGCGTATAAAAATAACACTTTGAAGACTATCATGGGTTTCAATTGGCCAGTGGATAGGTGTTCTCAGGCAGATGTTCTCTTTTTTGTAGACGACGATCACATTGTTCGTATAACAAACGTTATTGCATACCTACGGACATTTAACAAAATTGAAATGAAGAAACTATATGCAGGATTTCGCATCGATAAACCGTCAGTAGACCGAAGAGACGGATCCCCATGGAGTATGTCAAACTACGACTTCTCACACGTTTTGTGGCCAGCATACCTGAGGGGTGGAGCGTTTATCGTGTCGTCTGAAATAGCACTGCGCTTCGTCATCGCCTTTCCTTACGTGAAATTATTGTCAGTGGATGATTCCTACTTGGGTATTGTTGCGGACAAGCTGGGCATGTTGCCCCAGCACGATCGCAGGTTCAAAATGGACAAGGTAAACATAACGGTATGTCCGGACTATTTTGTTTACAATGACTACAAGGATCCACAGGAAATCAAGTCGGTCTGGAAAACGATATCTAAGGAGTAAGCAGCTACTTGACAAACAGGCTACACAGATATTTACTGTTATACAACATATCCAATTTTTGACAGTTTCGTCCATTTGAATATTACGCCCTAGAAATGTTTCTCGTTTTAGAACATTAGTGTGTACCTAAACATTTATATTCGTGTTGAGAAAGGTATTGTTCAATGTGTTCAACTAAACCATGTTTTATCTCAGGAGACCTAACTCATAACATTTTATTCGTCTAAATTTCCTCTTTACAATATCGTAAGGAATGTCAGCTATTTTAGCCGTTGTTGAGGATGGAATACATTGCTTGTCGTAGTTTAATCGTTACTCAGACGTATCGAAGTCAATGATAAATGCGTTCTGTTGATAGATAAGCTATGTAGCTACAGTGTCATATCGTAAACCTCCAATCTTCGCTGAGGAGGTGTTGAACTCGTCATCATGATCGAATTTCTAACTAGAAAATGTCAATGTCTTCAATGATTAAAACGTTTTCACTGTTTTCGGTTGTGGATGAAGTGCATACTTCATCTTCCTATATTCCACCCTCGTATTTAGTAAGTCTGTATGATTATTACGTTTTGTTGTCTCTATTGCTACTGTTGTAATATTTTTGATATATTAACATTGTATTACATTTAATACGTATTCACTAAAACTTTGGTTTAGATTTTCCCTTTACACAATTAACGTCTAATTAAATGTTTATGTATTTGTTGATGTCAGAAATTTCATATCAAGAACATAACATGATATTGTAGTGTAAGCGTAATTATAATTTATTGCTTTATTGCTTCAGCAATTTATATCATGCATGGATACAGCCATTTTATATTCAATTGTTATTGTCAATCTTTTTCGAGAAAGCGCGAAAAGCGTTGATATATGATAACCACTTAACTACGCACTTTAAAGTAGTTTATATGCTAACACACCACTGCTTCAATAATTGTTACTGTAATAATAACGCAGAGAACATTGCAAAGTTCAGTTCTTATGTAACGCCAAGAGAGACAGTGTATAAACCTAAATCAAAAATTTGATTTTTTCATTTCATTATTTTGTATTATTATTTCTCAGTGTAAATTGTTCAGAATTACAATTGAGAAATCAAACAAAATTGAATAAGATGTGAGGAGGTATTTTCAGTACAAACTTTTTGAATTATCATTTAACATTAAGGGAGAGGTTATATTTACATAATATGTATGTCGCATCGATTACAGATTGCATTGCCATTCGTGTCTCATGGAGATGTTATACACACTTATTTACTGTGATTGTTCTCCTCGTGCAATATGTATTGTGCCTCCCTCTGTTGATGTCGGCTTTCATAAGTGATCTAATTTACTTACTGTGGTTGGGAAGGAATATCGGAGTCATTGTTTTACATATTTATTCATCAGACAATAAATATTATCTTCAATAACGACTTGAATACATGTACTTGTTTTATATATTCTATTACTTGTTACATTTTTTCTCTATAACTATATCTATATTAATTCATATAGCGATGCAGCGTAACAATTCCTCAAAACTAATGTGTTTCATTAAAGCATATATAATATAAAAGATATTTTGATTACTTTATAAGGCACCTGTTATTCTTTTCGGCAGAAGGTATCGTATAATATATATATATATCTCATAAACTGTTTTACATATCATATCTTTTCTGAGATATCTAACAAAAACATATCTTATAAAACACATATAAGATTTATGATGAATCATATCTTTTAAAATACATAGGATATCTTATAAAAGATACTGTTTTTTTATGACATAAAAAGAAATCCTTGATGAATAAAAAGAGGATATAGTATCCCATTATATAATGTCAACTGTCACTCTGTGACTGTTAGGCGAAAGAACGATTCTTCATCATAAGGTGGTATATAACACTGCTTCATTCTTAATGAGTGAACATATACGGATACTTAAGTGTGGCATCTGGTAACAAAAAGAGCAACGCTACACTTAACCATCTGAATCTAAGCCGTATCGTTGTTTTTCTACTGAACAGATATATTGTATTTGAAGGCGGGATAAAGACTACTGTTTATATACTTTCTCTTTACGTTAGAGGAGGATATTTTTATGTTTCGCTTTAAGAAACCCAAAGTAGTGCTGGTTTTTTGGCGATGTTTTTAACATGGGCCTTTTATATCTGAGTTGATAGTGACATCCATAATTTGGTTTCTGACACGTGTTAGAGTTCGTGGGTTTGTCTGTCTTACCTTTCCAGCTAAGCTGTATTTAATGTGGAAATTTTGCTGTGGTAGAACACCGATTTCCGTCGGAGGCTCCGGGATTTAATACAAAAGATTGATCTTAAGTATGATATATTTGATTCCATTGTTGTACATATATTTAGGTGTATGTGCGGATCACGTAGGAATGTGTTGTCTATTTATTCACAGACGTGTGCCACGTACCATAACAGAACACGACGAGAACTATTGTTCAGCTCTAAATACCATAACACGAAGTGTTTCATGCTCATTCATTAAATTCATAGCTAATTCGTAGTTGAGTTAATCATTAAGTTGAATTCAAGATTCAGACTTACGGATTCTAAACGAAAAACCCTCTTAACTTATAAGGCAAAACACACAAAATATTTACAATTAGTTTATTTCATTTTTTTTAATTCCATTTATTTATTATCTTTATCTATTTATTCATTTTGTTTATTTCTGTTTTGTTTTATTTTATTTTATTTTATTTACCCTTAATCTTTATTTCAACCGTTTCAATTATCATCTTTTTCAGTACCATAATTATATTGATAACTATTTCATTCAAACGTGAAAAACTAAGTGCTATAGACTTAACTTTCTTACATTCAAACCAATACACCACCCAAGTACAGCATAAATGCACACAAGTACCACACAAATACACATATGGGCATGCGTGATAGAAATAAGATTTATGATATGATCACATCACACTTAATAATAACATTTTAACTATGGCATCGTTAATATAACGCTTAATTACACATATTTAAAAGCTTTGGTACACTCAAGTCCTCCCTCTCCCCAGAAAACATATGTCATTAAGTAATGGGGTATACAGAATTCCAAGGGGCACATCGATTTGACTCCTGCGAAACATATTTCATTAAGTACAAGCGTGCACATGAAGACTGTGTTACTCATTGTTAGCCCCTGTGAAACATATGATAGGAGACCGAAGTAGTGGTTCAGCCCCGTGACAGAAAGGGGATTGCATGTAGATGATACACAGATTACAAAAGGCTTCTTGTGCTGCTAGAGATGTTATCTACTTGATGAATAAAATATCTGAGAAATGAAGCCTTATCATGATTCTTGTCCTATGGTGCTGCTAGAGATGTTATCTACTTGATGAATAAAACATCTGAGAAATGAAGCCTTATCATGATTCTTGTCCTATGGTGAATCTTTTCTTCTGGTTCAATGCTATGAACTCGAATATCTATTATTCTAAATAGTCAACATATAATACTAGTACAACTATATCTGGTTCACTATGCTGGATCACATTGTTTTAATGAGATGGTTAGACTGTGATCGTGACGTGTTGTATATCATATCTGTGTACTGAGGCGTACCGTTCAGGGTACTAGGCGTACCGGTAAGGGAACTAGGCGTACCGGTCAGGGAACTAGGCGTACCGGTCAAGGTACAAGGCGTACCGTTCAAGGTACTATGCGTACCGGTGAGGGAAATATGCGTACCGGTCAGGAGCTAGGCGTACCAGTCAGGGAACTAGGTGTACCGGTCAGGGTACTAGGCGTAAGAGTCAAGGAACTAGGTGTAGCGGTCAGGCTACTAGGCGAACCGGTGACGGAACTATGCGTACCGGTCAGGGAACTAGGCGTACCGGTCAGGGAACTAGGTGTACCGGTCAGGGTACTAGGCCAACCGGTCAGGAAACTAGGCGCACCGGTCAGGGAACTAGGCATACCTGTCAGGGTACTAGGCGTACCGGTCAGAGAAAAAGGCGTACCGGTCGGGGAACAAGGCGTACCGGTCAAAGAACTAGGCGAAGGGGTCAAGGAACTAGGAGTACCGGTCAGGGAACTAGGTGTACCGGTCAGGGAACTAGGTGTACCGGTCAGGGTACTAGGCGAACCGGTCAAGGTACAAGGCGTACCGTTCAAGGTACTATGCGTACCGGTCATGGGACTAGGCGTACCGGCCAGGGAACTAGGCGTACCGGTCAAGGAACTATGCGTACCGGTCATGGAACTAGGCGTACCGGTCAGGGAACTAGGCGTACCGGCCAAGGAACTAGGCGTACCGGTCAGGGAACTATGTGTACCGGTCAGGGTACTAGGTGAACCGGTCAGGGTACTAGGCGTACCGGTCAGGGAACTAGGTGAACCAGTCAGGGAACTAGGCGTACCGGTCATGGAACTAGGCGTACCGGTCAGGGAACTAGGCGTACCGGTCATGGAACTAGGTGTACCGGTCAGGGTACTAGGCGTACTGGTCAGGGAACTAGGTGTACCGGTCAGGGAACTAGGTGTACCGGTCAGGGAACTAAAGGGACTTGCCTCTCACGTTTATACTAACTTACCATCGAGTCACAACATCAATTATCTTCGTTATCTTAAAATGTATTAATTTATAACGAAGTCAGAAAATGACAAAAAAAATGATAATAAGCAAAGAATGCTTCGACATGCGTGATTTATTTTCCTGCAGTTTTCGAATTCAAAATTATATATTCCACAATGATGATTGCGCATATGTTGATCAAGTAGAATGATACGAAATGTGATTTCGTGTCTATACTTAAATTAGTCTATCATGCGGAATGACCGACATACTTTCTTTTAACTATGTCCTCCTGGCGTCACCAGGAATTGATAGTCTCCGACTTTTCAACTGTACCCCTAAACTTTCTAACCAGTTCCTAATGTTAAATGATACTCTTTATTACATTTTAACCAATAAAATATAAAATTATTCCTTCTATAAAAGTGATATTTTTCACTAGTGTTGCTAATATTT